AAAGGTAACAAAAAAATTGAAGTCGTTAAAAAGATTCGGCCTTTGTTAGGATTAAGTTTTGGCTCTGTCCCTGTACATACCTTATATGTTCATAATTTTTTTAAACCCTTAAACTATACCCTCTAAATTCTAATCTCAATGCCTCTAAAGAAAATAATATTCTCTTTCACCGCTTAGGTGATTTGATGGGTTATATGAAAGTTATTAATTTAGATAATTCCACGAGAATTAATTCAACACTAAGGTAGCGTTTGGTTCGCTGGAATGTTTCTGAGGGAATTAGAATATGTCAGGAATTAGAATCCAATTCCATATTTTGTTTGGTTGGCAGGAAATGGAATTGGAATCCAATTTCATATTATGTTTGGTTCGCATACATGTCAGATGAATTTGATTTCAATAATGTAAAATGACAGAATTGCCCTTCTTCTTCTTTTTTGCTTTATTTTAGTTTGTTTTACAACTTACATATAGTAATATATTATAAAAAATTAAAAAATATTAAAATTTTATTTTATTGAATGATTATTCATTTCAATAAATTATAAAAATCATGCTAATAAACATCATAAGTTAAAATCATCGCAATCAACATATGTTAATAAGTTACCAAAAGATAGAGCAATATTTCGATACATTTCAATCGGAGTATGTTAATTAGTTACCAAAAAATATACCAAAAACTATTTTTATTTAATATATGAATTAGAAACCCGACCCGACCCGATACGACACGAAATAATAATAAAATTATTTTTATTCAATAAAAACATTGACTTAATTGAAAAAAAATTATATATAGAGGGATATTATTGTAATTATTCCTAAATATATAAGGTAAAATTATATTTTTTTTCCGGGTCGGGTCTGGTTTTTTCACCCTAAACCCGAACCCGACCCGAATATCACACTTAAAAAAACTCGACCCGAATATCACACTTAAAAAACCCGACCCGACCCGAACAAAATAAAGTTTCACCCGACCCGACCCGAATATATAAATTAGAAATCCGACCCGACCTGAAATAATAAAAAAATATTTTTATTCAATAAAAACAGTGACTTAATTGAAAAAAAATTATATATAGAGGGGTATTATTGTAATTATTCCTAAATATATAAGGTAAAATTATATATATTTTCGGGTCGGGTATTTTCACCCTAAACATGAACTCGACCCGACCCGAATATCACACTTAAAAAAACCGACCCGACCCAACCAAAATAAAGTTTCACCCGACCCGACCCAAATATATGAATTAGAAACTCGACCCGAAATAATAAAAAAATACTTTTATTCAATATATGAATAAGTTACCAAAAGATAAAAAAATACTTTTATTCAATATATGAATAAGTTACCAAAAGATTGATGAGTGTAGTATGGTCAAACTTCAATTCCCTCCAACAAGGGAATTGAATTCCATCTATTATTGGATTAAATTCACTTTCCCTCATTTGATGGAAATTTGAAGCCATGAGAGATTCAAATTCCCTTGAAAAACTTGAACCAAACATGAGAAAGTGGTGGAATTGGATTCGAATTTCCACCAATTCTAAAAGATTCCAACGATCCAAACACCACCTAAAAGAAAAGAAGAGATTAACAAATAATGAAAGAAGAGAATAAAAAAGGGAGGAAGAGATGGAAGATTCTTGAATGTGTAGTCAATCAAAATTGATGCATAAATTTCTAAACCACCTTTTCTCTTACTTTTTAGGCCTAATTGACTTCAAAGGATGCCATTTGTGGAAACATTTCTAGTTCTTATCGACTACATATAAATAAATGAAAACTAATGGCATAATTTGATGCTTTGTATTAGGAAAAAAAAACTCATTGCAGTGGTGAACATTTAAAAATTCACCTTTTTATCAAATAATAGATTATTCATAAACTAATAAAATATTAAATAATACTATTAGAAAATAGTTTTGTATATAACAAGTTAAATCAAATACTCTCAAATATAGACATTAATAAAATGAGTTTCTATACTCAAAATCGATAAGTCTTTCACTTCATATATTAGCAAAATAAATTTGAATAAAAAATAAAATAAATTTAAGCTATCTCAAGCTAAAAATTAATCAAAAATACACTTCAATATTAATATCATAATTCATATGAATAGTATCGATATTATACTTATAAGTATTGATACTCATTTAATAGTGTTAATATTATCTCTTAAGTATCGATATTGATCAAACTTTAAATCGTTTTAACAGGCTCTAATATTTAACTCGATTAACTTTCACTGTCACTCCAACAACTAGAAATCAACGAAGGATTATAAATATTTTACAACAAGAGTTCAAAAAGAAAACATCCATCTACTTGGAAAGAATTATATGAGTTTTATTTCATAATTTTTGTTGTTCAAACACTTGTAAGTTTTATTATATTCATTGTTTTCAAGTGTTTTGGGTGAGAGCATATATTTACAAGCATATTTATATTGTGAGAATTTTAAAAAATAATTAATAGGTACCATAAGAACACTACCATTATCATAAAAAATAACTATCAATTAATTAAAGGATTTTTTGTATATATAATCACATATTTTTTGTTTCACATGATAAATGTAAAACATCATAATAAATTAATTAAAATTTTAAAAATAGACAGAATTATTTTATATTATGTATTTTTTAAATTTATATGTTTTTAAAATTATTAAGTAAATAAAAATAGATGATCGAAACTAGAAATAAAAAATAAAAAATTAAATTAAATGTTTTTTTTATCTAAGAATCTTTAAAAAAATATAACATTAAAAATTTTATGAATATTTGATCACCATAAGAACACATGTTTATGCCTTTGTTTGGAGGCATTTCTTCTGTATATTTGATCACCATTATGTGTGTGTGTGTTTTTCACTTTATGAATAAAAGGTTTTTTTAGCGAGACATATGATGATATTTTCCTTGGAATAAAAATATTATATTACATAGTTTATGTTTCACATTGTAACCTAAAAGTGGGCAACACCCTAGCGTCCATTATAAAATTTACATCCTCGGTAGGGATAATAAAATGATGTTATTTTATAAAAAAACGTTCAATGGGGAAAAGTTATGGGTTGAATAAGATGGGAGGGAGGAGGAATTTCCCTGTTTGATTAAAATTCATCAACATGTCTTGTCAACGGCCATTTTAATTTATACAAGACAAAACTAACCACTCGTGGCATCTAAGAGCTTCAACCTTTGTCCTTTCACTGGACGCTATAAAACTACTATTATTTAGGTATCAACACCACTTACAGCAAAATTCTGTTTGCTTTGCCCACTGCTTTTCCTGAAAACAACTAGCCCACCCACATTGTTGGGTGATGGATTAATATAAAAATTAAGTTTTAGTGTGATTTTTTTTGTTAAAAATAATTGTTTAATATTTTTTTTGTTATATTTTTTAGGTATTCAATTTTAAAAAAAATCGTTAAGCGACACGTGTTATGTTTATATTTTTAAATAATATTTTTAAATAATATTTTATTTTTTTAAAAATAAAAAATATATAAATGTGAAACGTAGCACTTGACAATTTTTTTTAACGGTAGATACTTAAAAGTATAACGGATAAAACATCATAAATCTATTTTTAACCAAAAAAAAAAAACTTTTTAGATACCAAAAGTCAATTTTAAATATAATTTTGACATTTATTTTTATATTAAGTCTGAGGTAATTTCTTTCATTTTTATATGCCCATCAGGCACATAACAAGAAGTATCCCCTCCTCTTCATAATTTTATTTATTTTTGTTTAATCATATGTATTTGATTTATTGTCTAATTTTGCAAAGATCTCGTTATGAGAACGATTCTTTCGATCCAATTTTCTCAATTTGTAAACTTGAGAATTTAAACCCTTGATCTAATTTAAAAAATCTAATATATCATTCTTCTGGACAAACTAATTGTTGATATTTTATTTATTTTTTATTGACACTATTTATATAACTGACAGAAAACAAGGGGGGGGAATAAAGGAATCCTCTTGTGAGCCACATTTCCCCCCCCCCCCCCCCATGATGAGTTGACTGAATAATTCATCAAGACATTAACCATTAAACAAAAGACGCTTGTATATAATTTCATGGCAAGTTTCCATGAACTATATGAAATACAAAAATTGGTGACTCATATGCCAAAGATGTCTGTCCGAAATTTATAATATATGACCCAAACACAAATTCAATCATATTTTATAAATTAGAGACAACTGCCACTCGTGGCATGAGATATCCATGCTACCAGCTTCAAGAAAAGACATAAAATTATACGTTATTCCTTCAAATTTTATATATTATCTTACGTTCAAATTTTATAAATTCGATCACTTTAACATAAAATTACAAATGTATCCATGTGACGATAATCAAATTCTGAAAAATAAGTTAACAAATTTGAGGTAATTGAGAGCAATGACGGAACTACAACTTGATGAGGGCAGACACGTGTCTACCATGAAATTCGAATTTTCTTATATTAGTTACTTATTTTATTGATAGTATCTACTATGAAATCTAAGTTTTATTTGATTAGTTGTTTATTTTATTGACGGTGTTCACCCTAAAATTTTATTTTTGTACGCATCCCATTTAAAAGTTTTATGTTGTTAACATATGTATGTTTCATTCTAAAAAAATATTTCTAGATCAGGCGGTATTAAATAGTCAGGAAACCCTATGAAGCCACTTATTAAAGACAAAGTAGTCTTTTCCTGGCTGATAAATACCTGGCCTAATCTTCTCGCAGTTGTGCAGGTTTGCATAAAATTGAGCTTTAATTCAAAATATTCCTTCAGATTCAACCTTTACTTCTTTCTTGTTTCGTTTTTCTTCTACTTTAAGGGTGAAACTTGCAGTGGTGTTATAATATAAACCCATTTGTGGTAGAAAGCAAAACAGTTGCTTTTGCATGTACCTATAAAAGAGAACCTTTCCTCCACTAGCTTACTCATTTAAACATCCACCATCGCCATTTTCACACCCTAGCTAGCTTCTTACACAACACAATTTTCTCTTTTGTCCAAAGTTTCTTTGTCTTCCAGGCCACTTGCTTCTTCTGGTCTCCACATATTTGCCAATAAAAGGTACGGTGGTCCATGCATATTTGCCGGTAGCTTTTCATTCCCGACTAGATTTTGCAAGTGCTTATTGTTCTGACCACACGCTGCTTTTTGCAGGGTTTTAAGATGAAACTCTCTTTGTCTGCCAGCAAATTAGTACAGCCCCGAGTGAACTTGGCGCTCAACCTGGAGGGTTTCTTCGGCCGGAAGGATAAGGTGGTGTTCGTAATGGGAGCCACCGGCACCGGAAAGTCCCGTCTCGCGATCGACCTCGCCACCCGTTTCCCGGCGGAAATAGTGAATTCAGACAAAATGCAAGTATACAAAGGCCTTGACATACTGACTAATAAAGTGACTGAAGAAGAGTGCAAAGGCGTCCCACACCATATGCTAGGCATAGTAGACCCCGACACCAATTTCACATCCATGGATTTCCAACACCGTGCCTCGCTCGCCGTCGAGTCGATACACGCCGAAGGCCGATTCCCGATCGTCGCCGGAGGCTCCAATTCGTACATCGAGGCATTGGTGAACGATGATCCCGAGTTCCGGTTAAGGTGCGAATGCTGCTTCCTATGGGTTGATGTGTCACTGCCGGTCCTACACTCTTTTGTGTCCGAACGGGTTGATAAGATGGTACAAGCAGGCTTGGTCGATGAGGCTGCACAAATTTTCGATCCAATGGCTGATTGTTCCAAAGGAATTAGACGTGCGATTGGGGTCCCCGAATTGGATCAATATTTCCGTGGTGGATCAACTGTTGATGCCGTAACTGGAGCCAAGATGCTCGAAACAGCCATCTCGAAAATCAAGGAAAATACATGCACTCTAGCTTCACTCCAACTGCAAAAAATCCTCCGATTTTATAACCGGTGGAGGTGGAGAATGCACCGGATTGATGCCACCGAAGTCTTCCTAAAGCGCGGCGATGAGGCCGACGAGAAATGGGAGCGGCTCGTCGCCGGACCGAGCACCATGATCGTCGACCAATTCCTCTGTGAAAAAAGTCGTGTGCCCACCATTTTACCGTCGGCGACCTCCTCGTCAGTCCCTATCGCCGCAGCCGTAGCAGCCGCAACACGTTAAAGTAGGACCCGAAGAATCTGACACATGGAAATGGTGTTCCACTTGGCATCATGCCACATGGCAGGCTGGCACCCGATACCCCTCTATATATATATATATATATTTAAATTCGATACTCATAATTAAAAGAACGGAAAAAAAGGTAAACTATACCTTTATGACCTCAACTATAACTTTTATTCCGTTTTGATCATCTAACTATTTTTTTTCAAAATCATAACTAATATTAAGTTTTGGTTTTATTTTAGTCACCCATCATTAAAAAAAATTAACATAACTTTTGACGTGACATTTTTTTCTATGACTAAAAAACATTTTATCATGGTGACATGCTGATATCATTGTTAAGTTTTTACCGATGGGTGACTAAAATGAAATCAAAACTAAATGTTATGTATAATTTTGAAAGAAAGAGTTAGATGACTAAAATGAAACATAAGTTATAGTTGAACTACTAAATGTGTAGTTTACCTAAAAAAGAGTTTTTGAGGGTTGGAGATTGGAGAAGTTATAGGTGTGTACAAAAGGAAGCCATGCAGGCTGCTTTATTCCGTACTTGGGTTCGGTGCACCTGCATTAGTCATCATACAGGACCGTGCCTTCTGTGGGGTCCGAGCATCTGTTTATAAGGAAAAAGTCTAATAAGACAGCGGATCCCTAGTCCTTTGTGTACGCTAGCCTGTAGTGGCATTTCGTCTTTTCAATCTTTTTGAGCGTGACATGATCTGTAACTTTGTTTGGCTTTCTTACAAATGATAACCATTATAATATATGAAGAAATTAATGGAATATCAAAAGTTGCCCTTCTTTTAGAAGCCCATAATTGAATTAATCAAGTACCTTTTATTCTCAATCTGACGGTTTTGGAACCTTGGATCGAAAATCTAGGACCACCTTCCTAGATAAAAAAAATCCATTAGTTTGATGGAGAGAGTATATGCCTTAAATTGATTATTTTTTATGGACATCAATGGCTGTCATTTATCATTTTTATGGGAATACTGGAAAAGGTATAAAGGGGCAGGGCCATAACAATTGCATTTGGGTCAATTCAGTCCTCAACACCATACTCGAATCCATAATACTTTTTCCTTTATGGTTTGCATGAATGATAGTTAAGAATTTTCTTTTCTTTCGAAATGAATTGTAAATGTTGGTAGGTTAAAATGTATTTTTACTATTAGTTTAATTTTTATCTTTATATTTTTCCCATCATTTATGGAGAACTGGAATAATATTTTAATGTTTCTTGATGAGATCAAAAGGGTTGTGATAATTCTAGGCGATTCATCCCTTATAATTTAGACGAAGAGTCGTAATCGGTGGAATATCGACCGTTGACCTATGTCAAGGTGTTCTGTCTCCATGAAGAAATACATACGAGACAAATAAGGGTGAGGTGATTTCTTTTAGATCGCATCCCTTCTCTCGATCTTGCTCGAGAGATTTGATAGTAGCCCTTAGTGTGTGTCAATCATAGAGCTATCGTGACTATTCGTAAGCTAAGTCGATATGGCCACGTGACTGTGAATTTGACTCTAGTAAGACATGTGGATCTGTCAAAAATTATGTCAATAGAGACGTATCGTTGCGCCCTATAATATATATATATAAGAAGAATTTAGAGTGAGAATCGCAAATCCTCTAGTGTTGTTATTTCCTCTGTGTGAGATTAGTTGGGATTTGATTTTGTTGTCATAACATTAAAGAAAAGAACTGCGGAGGATGTGATGGATATAGAGGAGAAAATCGAAGTGAACTATTGATAGTTGACGAATTGTGGTACTTTCAAATACACAACTTGTTGGCTCAAGGCCAAGAATTTGCTGTTCACCAACGATGTATTTTGAGAGAACTATGTGTTTGAATTTGACATCTTTTCTTATTTGTATTGTTTGTGCGATCATGGAGATGACATCGACGGAAACTTGACATGATTTTACCTTATTCTTTTTGTTTTAGAAGTTGAGTTTCATTTTCTCATATACTAATGCAACTAAATGATCTTTATTTAGCGATCATGGAGATGGCACCGAGGAAAACCTGACATGGTTTTACCTTCTTCCTTTTGTTTTAGAGGTTGAGTTTCATCTTTTTCATGTACTAATGCAACTAAATGATATTGATTTCAAGCATATTTTTTATAGAGTTAACACATGCATACTCTCATACGTTTAAAAAGTCATCACTATGATGATTTTAAAAAATAACCCCATAAATACGATGTACATCTTTAAACGTACATCTCGACTCAAGCCACTTTATGGCACTCCCACAATTGAGAGGGGGAAATTGTTATACCCCATATATAATCTCCAAAAATTACTAGCTCTTTGTCAAACAAAATATTAAGTAGGACACATTCGCTTACTAGTGCCTCCAAAGAACTCATGTTCACTAAACACATGAGTATCATAACCTCTAAGCCAATTAACACATAGAAAAGACCTTGACAGATCCAGGTGATCTACTAGGATGAAATCCAATATCTGAAAGTCATATCTATTTAATATTTTGACTTACTAGTAGTCATAATGAGCTTATGTCTAGCACTTTCAACTAAAGTCACTATAAATACCCCTCAACCAAGATGGAGAAAGGGATTTTAACCATTTACTTCTTATATTTCATTATTACCTCCCTTTATGCCTTCATCTCTCACACAAAAAAAACATCGACCAACGATCATTACTTCACTAAATATGATTTTTCGTCTAAATTAGGAGTAAACCACCGATGACGAACAACACAAACTTATTTCCCTAAAAAAATGTGTTTTAATCTTTCTATTTGCCTAGACACGTCTGATTTTACTTATTTATAACACACCCTTTATCCAGCAAACAACTTTCAACACTTTTAAACATATAATTAAATCATATATTTTCCATAAGTTTTAAAAAATAAATAAAATGAAAAAAAATAATTCGAAGCGTATAACCTGTTGACGAAAACGGGTAAAGAAAACGAAAGAACACGAGAATTTTACGAGGTTCGGCAATGTGCTTACGTCCTCGGTGCCTAGGCGGCGCTAGAATTTTATTCAATGATATTTTAGGTCTAGGTTACATCTCTATTTATAATAGAAAAACCCTGGTACATAATTACAAAATCAACCCTGTACCGTACCGCGGGGGCTACGCCCCCGCACCCCTAACCCACATAATTTGTAACCCCACAACGAGACTTTCTTTGTAAGGACAGTTGATGTTCGCTTCGCTCACTCCGCTCCATCTCCTGTCCTCTTTACTGGTATATTTATGAGCCATACCTAACATAACTTTTTATGGTTGGCCGTGATTGTGAAATTAGACAAAACTAAAACCAATAAGAAAAGTAATTATGGGCTATGATAGGGTACTAATGCTCCCATCTTTTTTTCTTACAGAATTTGTTTTTATATCGTTTTTTAATGGGACAATTTACGAGTTGAAAAAGGAGGAGAAAGGTTCCTTCCCTCCACACTGTTTTTGTTTTAAATTAGATATAACTATAAATGTCAATCAATTACTCGTTTGGGGAGCATAATATAAAGATGGAAGGGAAGAAAATAACCAATCCTTAAATGTAGGCATGCATCAATCCAACACCGATGAATTAAAAAAACTTTGGGTAAATTATGCATTTAGCACAAAAACTATCCTTTTTAGTACCTAAACTTTCAATTTTTTAAAACCATACTTAATATTTAGTTTTTGTTTCATTTTAGTACCCCACCGTTAAAAACTTAACGCGTTTAGTACTTAAGCTATCAGTTTTGGTCCGTTTTAGTACCTAAACTTTCAATTTATTTCGAAACTTAACATCAAGTTTTAACAGGGGTATTAAAATAAATCGAAAACTAAACATTATATATGTTTTTGAAAAAAAATAAAAAATAAAACATTAAAATATACTTAAATTGATGATTTAGAACTAAAATGTGTAGTGCACCCTTAAAAAACGAGTAACGAAAAACCGTTTGTAAATTTGGTGTTAGAGAATCATTGAGCTGTTGGTACAACTTAAGGACATGAGAACCATCCTTGGTGTTGTGGAATTTGGGTTAATTTCCACCAATAATAACAAATTCACCTTGAAAATTATTATCTAGGTGATTAGTGTGAAAACAATTGTACTAAAAAGCACCCCAATGTAGATTCCCAGGAAAGAGTGGAGGGGTCAAGATGGTCCCTCTTAAAACCCACTCTCCTTAGACAGAACTACCAAGACAAGTAATTTTAATAGAACAATAATTAACAACAACTATATCCGACAATAGCTATTAAATAGATATAAAAGATAACACCAAAATTTAACGAGGTTAGGCCAAAATTATGCCTACGTCCTCGAACACTACTAAAATAATATTTCACTAATAGAGGAAATATTACAAAGAGAGAGAGAGAAAGAGTACAAATAGCCTTTAATATAGAAGAAGGCTTATATTTGTGGGATACTAAACTAAGGAGGAGGAGGATTCTATTTATAACAAAAGAATTTCCCCTCCTCCTTATACAAAATCAATGTGGGATTCAAAATTTTCCAAAAAACCAACAAATCTCTAACTTGGCAAATTCCACACACATCTCTAAAAAATCCAATCTTTAGTAGTGTCTATAAATTCATCTTTCAATTTGTAACAATATTGACAAAGTCTAAACAATGTTTAAACTTGACCGCAGTTACCACTTTTGTCAACATATCAGCAGGATTCTCAGTGGTTCGAATCTTCTGGATTATGACTCCACCTTCTTCTATAATCTCTCATATAAAGTGATATTGAACATCAATGTGCTTCGTCCTTGCATGGTAAACCTGGTTCTTTGCTAAATGAATAGCACTATGACTGTCACAATGCACTTTGATGTGCTTCTGTTCCATTCCCAATTCACCAAGCAACCCTTGAAGCCAAATTGCCTCCTTCACAGCCTCTGTAACTGTCATATACTCTACCTCTGTAGTAGACAAAGCTACTGTTGATTGTAAGGTGGACTTCCAACTGACTGGTGCTTTTGCAAATGTAAACACATAACCAGTAGTTGATCGACGCTTGTCCAAATCACCTGCATAGTCTGAATCACAATACCCAACTATACACTGACCATCTTGTTTGTCCTGCTGAAAGACCAAACCAATATCTACGGTGTTCAGACTATACCGCAGAATCCATTTCACAACTTGCCAATGCTCCTTTCCAGGATCATGCATATACCTGCTCACAACCCCAACTACTTGTGAAATATCGGGTCTCGTACACACCATTGCATACATCAAGCTACCAACAACATTTGCATACAGAACCTTTGACATGTATTCCCGTTCTGCATCATCCTTAGGTGACATGGATGCACCGAGCTTGAAATGAGGAGCAAGAGGTGTACTAACTAGTTTTGACTTCTCATTCATGCCAAAATGCTTTAGTACCTTCCTCAGATATTCTTTCTGAGACAAATAAAGCCTCCCCAATTTCTTATCCCTTGATATCTCCATGCCTAGAATCTTCTTCGCTTCACCAAGATCTTTCATCTCAAACTCCCTGTTTAATTGAGTCTTTAGTTTCACAATTTATGTCTGACTCCTGGAAGCTATCAACATATAATCAACATAAAGAAGAAGATATATATATGATCCGTCTTGTAGCTTGCGTAAATACACACAATGATTATATTTGCTTCTTGTGTACTTCTGCCCTATCATAAACTTGTCAAATCGCTTGTACCACTGCCTTGGAGATTGCTTCAATCCGTACAACGATTTTTCTAATTTGCACACCATCTCTTCATTTTTAACAACTTTGAATCCATCTAGCTGAGTCATGTATATTTCCTCATCCAAGTATCCATATAAAAATGTAGTTTTTACATCCATCTGAACTAGTTCCAAATCCAACTACGCTGCCAAAGCCAACAAAATTTTGATGGAGGAATGTTTTACAACTGGAGAAAATACTTCATTATAATCAACTCCCTTCGTTTGAGCGTAGCCTTTAGCCACCAATCTTGCTTTGTAGCGAATGCTATTCTTGTCAAGAAATCCATCTTTCTTTGCATATACCCACTTGCACCCAATTGTCTTATTTCCCTTCGGAAGACTAGTTAGTTTCCACGTATGATTCTTTTGAAGGGATTGCATTTCTTCATTCATGGTGATCCTCCACTTTTTATGTTATGAACTTTGGATTGCTTCATTAAAAGTTGCAGGAACGTCATCAATTGCAATTGGTGATGCAAAAGAGACCATATCAGATAACGAACAGGTTGTCTAATGGTAATCTTTCCCTTTCTGAGTGCAATTGATTCATGTTGTTGTGGAGGTTATTGGGTCTGAACCTCTTCTTCATCTGACTCTTCTTCTACCATAGGAGAGTCAACATCAGTTTCTTTACTGGCTGGGACAATTCTGTTTCCTTCAAACTCCACCTGTTTGGGAGTTCTATCTGTTTTCTCTAATTTTTCTGAAGTCACCTTTCTCAACATGGTAGATTCATCAAAGGTAATATCCCTACTGAAGATTATTTTCCTTATTTCTAGACTCCAAAGATGATAGCCTTTCACACCATAGGTGGTCCCCATAAAGATCGCCTTTTTTACTCTTGGATCCATATTTGACTCCTTAACATGGTAGTATGCAGTGTAAACAAACACATGTAAGGAATCACAATCTGTAGCAGGTTCTCCAAACCATTTCTCTAATGGTGTTTTACCACCAATAGCAGTCGATGGTAAGCAATTGACAAGGTGACAAGCATAGACTAAAGCCTCAGCCCAAAATTCTTTACCTAACCCAGCATTAGACAATATACACCGAACCTCTCCACTAATGTCTGGTTCATATGCTCTGCCACCCCATTCTGTTGTGGTGTATATATGACAGTAAAGTGCCTGACAATACCTTCATCTTCATAGACTTTCAGAAATATATCATTTTTTTACTCTCCACCATTGTCTGTACGGAGACGTTTGATTTTTCTGCATGTTTGAGTCTCCAAAATCTTTTTCCATTTAAGGAAAAATCCTAACACCTTATCATTTGTCTTTATTGTATACACCCAAACTCTCCGGAAAAAATCATCAACAAATGTGATATAATAGTATGTTCCTCCCAATGAAGTTGTCTTGGAAGGCCCCCATACATCTTAATGAACATAATCCAAAATACTTCTAGTATCATGGATTGCGATTCCAAATTTCACACTCGTCTTCTTCCCTTTGATGCAATGCTCACAAAAAACTAATTTGCAAGCCCGGGCACCCTTCAATAATCCTTGATCTATCAACAATTTTAAGGATTTTCACCAACATGCCCCAAGCGCATATGCCATAACCTGGTTGCTTCTGATTCCTGTTCATCAGTAGAATCTGCCACTCCTGTTTTCCCAACAATTATACTACCCAGAAAGTAATACACATTGTTTCTTTTCCAGATTCCCTTCATTATCACTAGTGCACCAGAGATAATCCTCATAATCCCATCTTTTGCCCTAATTTCTAAACCTTTTGACTCTAAGGTTCCCACAGAGATAAGATTTCTCATTAAATCTGGTACAAATGGACACCTGTTAAGGTTCTGATTGATCCATCCTGATTCCTCAAGCAAATTGAACCAATCCCAAGTGTGTCAAGAGTGGAATTATTTGTTGTAGAGACAATTCCACCTTTTATTTCTTTAAAATCAAAGAACCATTCTCTATTGGGGGTCATATGGTGGCTACAAGCTGAATCTAACAGCCATGAATTGAAACAACTAGTTGATGGAGTAGCAGCAAATGCAAAATCTGAATCTGCATCATCATACTCGACCACATTTGACTCTGAGATAGCCTTTCACCTTTCAGGTTTGCCTTTCTTCTTTAGCCTGAGACATTCTTTCTTCTAGTGCCTTTTTTCTCGACAAAAGACGCATTCATCTTTGCTTAATCTGGACTTTGACTTCGATCTCCCTCTCATTCCTTTATTATGACTCTTCGAACGACCTCTAACAACAAGACTCTTTCTCGTCCTTCCACCATTTGTGTCACGTTGAGCAAAGGCGCTCTCATGTAGCGACGCTTTCGGTAAGGCTCTCCTTTGTACGTGGTACAAATAAATACCATTGAAGAAAATAGATATGATTGGTATTAATTTTGTTTAAAAAAATTGAAATAGTATTAATTTAATAAAATGACATTGATAATACTTATTAATTAAATTGTTAAGAAAAGTGATTTATTATTTTTATTATCATAAAAGAACAAAAAGGAACTATTAGAGATCCATTGTATTAATCATAATAATTGAGATGCATGAGAATAATTTACGATGATACAACTTCTATCCACAAGCATACGTGGATGTAGCAAGTTCAAACCTTCAAAAGGAAAAGACGAGTCGAAATTTAATCGAGGTCAAGATCTAATGGCTCAACATTCTATCTCCTCCTCCTCATTCTTCTTACCCTCCCAAAAGCCCATGCCGTCCTCCATCACCTTCTCTTCTTATCACCACCAGATACACCGCCGTAGAACGGTCGTTCCCTTGTCGGTCTCTCATCGCCGCCGGCCCCGCCGCAAACATCGTTGGAAAAGACGGGATTTGTCCTTTACTCTGCCGCTTTCATCCAGAGGAAACGAACCGTTTTTAGACTCTAGAAATAGTGAGTTTCTTTTTCTTTTCATTGAGAGACTGAGAAAAAACAGAATGATTTTACTTTAATATAATTTTTTTAAACTAAGGTTCTGGAAGTAGAGACTCGTTGGCGACGGAGATGGAGCAAGAGACCAGTACCTCGACTAGTTTGATCGCTGGTTCGAGGAAGAAGAACGAGTATACCGCCAACGCCGGAAGATTTAGTGTTTTCGGCGTCGATTTGTCGCCAGATAATGTGGCGGTTGCTATGGTTTATTTCGTTCAAGGCGTTTTAGGCCTTTCGAGGCTTGCTGTTAGCTTTTACGTGAAAGATGATTTGCATCTTGATCCTGCAGAAGTATGCTCTGTTTTGCCTTAATATTCAAGTAGTTTAATTTTTCAATTGCTTAAAGTTAAACCAGGCTTTACTTTGATTTAATAGGATAACTAAATTTTATTATTTATATGAAATGATGGTGGTAGAATCAGTAGTACTTTCTAGTCCTTTCTTCGTTTTAGTCAACTATGGTTATATTTTCTTTAAATTTACGTTTGCTTTGTAGAAAATTTTGAGGATGCTTAATTTATAGCAGCGTTCAAAGTTGTAGAATCCAGAATTTGAATAATTAAGAATGAGCAAATAACTGAATTCAATAATAGTTTTAGTTTTATTGTTTATAAAGGAAATCCGTAAAAGAATTGCATTTGTAGTTTTAATTTTTTTGAGTTTAGTTATAAAAACATAAATGTTGTGGATTGAAGCATATTGCTATCTGACTCCAATGTTTACGAATAAGTTCTTTATTTTTTTGGTTAGGTTTTAAACAGTTAAGTAGAGAAATTTAATGTGTTTGCATTACATTGACTGCATATTTATCTTATAGTTTTCTTAAAGAATTGACAAGTTCTATGTGGTTGACTAGACAGCTGTGTTAACCGGTTTTTCTTCGCTTCCATGGCTTGTTAAGCCACTTTATGGGTTTATTAGGTGCGACTTTGCGAACTACCTTTCTCTGTTTATCATATTTGAAATTATTGAATTATTTATTGTTTCTGGATTTGCTGTAAAACTATGGTTTTTCAGTGATTCATTCCCACTATTTGGTTATCGAAGAAGGTCATACTTGGTTCTATCTGGACTTTTTGGTGCTCTTTCATGGAGTTTGATGGCCACCTTAGTCGACAGCAAGTATGGTGCTGCAGCCTGCATTTTTCTTGGATCCCTTTCTGTTGCTTTCTCAGACGTTGTAAGTTACTTCTGCTTTGCAGAAATCTTTCATTTATTCACTTAAAGATGACTATTTCTGTATGGGTGGTTTAGGGTTTCTATGTTTCTTATATTTGCACTTTTCTTGTACTGTATCTTTTCACATGATAATGCTGTTATCAAATCTAATATTGTTACATATGAAGTCAAAGTTTTAATCAAGAATTAGTGTCATGTTAAATGAAAATTGAATAGTAAGTTAATATATTTAGTCGTAAAGAGCTGAGAGCCTTAGACATCCTCCGTGCAAGCTTGGCCCATATGTGAAGTATAAAAGATCCTAATAATCTTGTGTGAACACATTCGTTAAACCAAGTGCAGGGAAAAAGCTGTTCTATTAGTTGGGAGTTTCATTGTTACAGTGTTCCTTTAACAGATGCCACTTCTCTCTTTCTGTGTGCACCTTGCACATGACTGAATGAGCAATTGCATACATACGCTTATCTTAATCATTTTAGATGTTAGTCCTAATAGTTTCTGTTCAGGAGCCATCCCATTCATGTTCTAGTCACATTTCTTGGATTATGTTAGAAACTGTTTCATGGTGCAGGTTGTAGATTCCATGGTCGTGGAGAGGGCTCGCGGGGAGTCGCAAAGCAGGTCAGGATCTCTTCAATCTCTATGCTGGGGATCCTCAGCGTTTGGTGGTATTGTGAGCTCCTATTTTAGCGGTTCGCTAGTGGATGCTTATGGTGTAAGGTACTTGAGGTGATTCATGTGTGGATGTAGTTTGAAGGATAAAAGAATTTTTTCCTAACCATTTTGTCATCAAATTAATATCTCAGGTTTGTTTTTGGTATCACTGCATTACTACCGCTGATAACATCTGCCGTTGCTGTTCTTGTAAAAGAACAAAGTATGCTTGGCCCAACAAGAAATCAGAATGGCCTTTCAACCAATCCCACCTTTCTTGAAAGCTCCAGGGAGAGTATCATTCAGTTGTTGAATGCTGTCAGACAACCCAAAGTGTTTCTTCCCACAGTTTTTATTTTCTTGTGGCAAGCAACACCGCAGTCAGACTCTGCTATGTTTTACTTCACGCGAGTTCTATTACTTTGTTTAAATTTCAGTCAGTTCCTGGTTTTCTCTTATTTTTCATATCTCAACAAAAGGCTGTTTTCATTTCAGCACGAATAAACTTGGTTTCACCCCAGAATTTCTAGGACGTGTCAATCTTGTTACTTCGGTTGCTTCATTGGTTGGAGTTGGATTGTACAATGGGTTTTTAAAAAACGTTCCATTGCGGAAGATTTTTCTTGCCACAACAATTATTGGTACAGCTCTTGGAATGACTCAGGTTTGTGTTTTTATTTACTTATGCTTACATATATTTCCGATGGATTGTGTATTGTGCTTATGATCATTTTGAATACATAATTTTGTCTTTGCTTAGGTCTTTCTGGTAACTGGATTGAACCGGCAGTTTGGAATAAGTGACGAGTGGTTTGCAATTGGGGATTCCTTGATTCTAACTGTTCTTGGTCAGGTAATTTATGTTTATCAACCATTGTCTGCTAGTTGAACGTGCATGATTAAAGGTTAAAATTTAAGCGTATCGTTCCTATATTATATGTATTTGCAACTAGGGTTGTAAATGAATCGGGTTTGAACGAATAAGTCTATGTTCATATTCGTTTGTTTATTTTTTTATGTGTTCATGTTCAATTCGTATTTGTTTAAATTTTTTATATTTTTGTGTTTTTTTTTTAAATTTTTAATATTGTTTTCGTGTGTGTTTGTGTTCAGTTTGTTTAGCGTTTGCAAACATTTTTATCAACATATTCATTTATATGGTCTGAAAATATGAAATTATGCCACTAGCCCTTAAGCTCTTTAGGCTTCACATTTTAAACTTCATAATTCACTGTGTGTTCAATTTAGTCCCTACTTTCACCAACATTTAAAATGTAAAAAAAGAAAAAGTCTTGGGTAAACGAGCTTGTTCGTGAACATAAACAATCCGAACACATCTCTATTTGTGTTTGTTCGATTATTAAATGAGTATAAAATTTTGTTTATACTAATTTATTTAGCTTAATAAATGAACAATTCACGAACAACCATATTTGCAGCCAAGTTTGCTAACACAGTGTAAAAGTAAAAGTACTGGACAACATATTTGATTTCAAGTCTGCTGCTGATGTTCTATGCTCATCGACGATGTTGCAGGCTTCTTTCATGCCGGTTCTTGTACTTGCAGCCAAGCTATGTCCGGAAGGGATGGAAGCAACACTGTTTGCAACTCTGATGTCCATATCAAACGGAGGCGGTGTGCTGGGGGGACTTTTAGGTGCAGGATTGACTCAGGTATTCGGTGTAACCAAAGATAATTTTGAATACTTAACCACCTTGATTATCCTATGCAATCTCAGTTCGTTGTTGCCTTTGCCGCTGCTTGGCCTCCTCCCTCAAGATGACTATGGAACTGTTTCGAAGGAGAGAGTAGATATTGAGATGAAATCTAATTGAATATATCGGATAAAACATCGAAAGTGTATAGTCTTTTGATTACATGCCCCAAATTGCACGTGCTGCTGCAATTTTGTTTTTTGATTTTGAAATCAGTTCAAACAAAATCCTCGCAAAGGTATCAAAATGTCTAACATCTGAAAAGAGTCTCTGCAAAAGCATTTTCATAAGCCAGTAGCGACACCCAGTTCTGAGGATCAGATGCAAGGTGCTCTATTATCATTGCAGCTTTCCAGCAAACTTCTGGCACCGGATGTGATGTCTTGATCACTTCCAATATACGATCAACCGCCCTAAAAATAAGATAAGCCCTTTCAGCTGTAAACTTCAACGATAACATGACTACGCATATTGCATTCATCACTACGCCATCACCCGATATTAAAAACAAAACAAAACTTACCATCTCTCACGAGCTAGCTTCAACCTGCAGTCCATATTGACGTCGACAAGGTTATAGAGTGCACCAGTAGCAGCAGCTTCTGCATCAAACGCTTGCAAGCTCAAAATATCGTAATCGCTTGTACATCTGCAATTACCATCCAGTTTGTATAAATATTTATAACATGACATTAAATTGAAAAAATATTCAAGCAGAATGCTTTACCTGAGCAACAAAAGGAAGGAGGAGAGGTTCATTATCAGGATTTATAATCATGTGCCCGAGAAATGCAGCAGCCGCACAGTGGCAGGCTTTGATTGGAGATCTTAGCATCTTGAACTGCACGTTTTTCACTGTTTGATAAACAGTCGGTGTAACCATTAACCGAAAGTTAGAGATTAAAAAGAATCACACACACGCACAAGCAAGAAAGTAGATCAGGATTCTCGCGTAATTTACTGTAAGATGGCTTCGATGAACTAAAAATCCTAAGGTTGAGCAAGGGAGCCAAATTTACAATCATCTCGATGGCATTTGTTACAAGTTCTTCATCCTCTGCCAAGAAAACAACTTTTAAGAAAGCACACGAAGACGGATTGAAAGAGTTAACTTCTGCAATTAGATAACAGAAGAAAAACACCATCACGCACACAAGTATATACACACTAAGCTGTCCAAGACGAAAGAGAAATGGGAATGGTAATCTCACCTATGATGTCATCTTCTATACACTGAAAAACTGTTTCCAAGCAATGCAGATGCTGAGCCATGGCAATTTCATTCTCCGGCATGAAAGAAAAGTTGTGAGGCATTAGATGCAGCAACAGCACACTGCTGTTTTTCGGCTCGACCCTCGTCATCTAGACTAAATAAACCATCTTCATCAAGCCACCATTCCGAACGACAGCGTTTAGTTGTATTCTTTTGCCCGGATGTTTCAGCAGCAGAAGACCCAAACCCCAAATTGTCATAGCATAAAAAACAGTCCAATTTTATTTCCACCACCATAAAACCAGCAAGACAAGAAAAACGACATCCGAGCCTACCCCAACTGTAGCAGCAAGGTATTTGATCCCAACGCCTTGCACTCATTGCCAAATCCCGTTGCACCCAATGTTCTAGCCCTATGTCCCTTTCTAAGTTCCTTAGGCAGTGCAATATCGCGCCAATCATCGATCTGCTCCGCATCACAACCACCATATAGAAGACAGAATTTATTGTCATAAATGTTATCAAAACACAAAATTGAAGTTTATCAAAATGTAAAGAAAACCTACAATTCGAAGAAGAGCATCGAGCAAGCCGGTAATTTCGGCCAAGCAGGCATCTTTACGCGTATCATCTTTCTCTTTGAAAGAGAGCAATGCGAGTGTGTTCAAAGCCCAAGTTAACTCTCTCTTCAAACCGCTTTGAAGTGCTAGAACTATCCTTCTATTGTTCACTTCTGCTCTACTTCCAGTAGCAACAACAAATTTAACACCGCACTCTAAGATAAAATTACCAAGAAAGTAATTTCAAATAAACAAACATTATATCAGAATAGTGAAGAAATTGCCTTTACTTTGATTTTAGTTCCAAGTGTAGGGTTTACCGGTGAGGGAGTTGTGAATTTGGAGGGAAGGGCCGAGGAGAGTGAACGGAGCAACTGAATCAGCAGCGGAGGCGGAGTCTACGCTAGCAGCTGTGCTTCCAAATGGTCGGCCTCTCTTCGACGGTGGTGCGGCGTTGCCACCCGACGTACCACCTGATTTAGCCTTCTGCATAAATTTTATTTTTCAATATGGGGAAAATTTGCTATGTAATTTATCCTGTTAGCATAACAATACACAGTTAAAATTGGTCTTAAATGCACCATTACCACTAAGTTTTATTATTTATAACGAGTTGTATCTTAAAATATTTATAACGGAATGTAAGATTACTAGTGGGGATATAAGATTATCAGAGAATAAGATTACGGGGAATGTTGTATTTTATGTTTGGTTAGTTTAACATGAATGTAAGATTACCATGTTTGGTTAAAGGAATAAAAGATTATTGGAATGTATATTTGACCAAATTGTCCTTATTATATATTTATTTTTTTAACAAGTTGTAAAATATTTATATATTTTCTTTAAAACATTTAAATTCATAAAATTTATATAATTTTTTTTATAAAATTGAAAATATAAAAATATTTAATGAAATGGTAAAATTTTATTTTAACTCCTGAACTTCATATAAAATTTTAATTATAGATTTTTTTTTGTAAATCTAAAATAGTTTAAGGATAAGTTTATAATTTAGCCTTCGTAGAATTTTTATTATTCAATGACAGAATAATGATATTTTTGAAGAAATTTTTTTAAGGACATTTTAGTCTAAAACGCCGGTAATCTAACAATACCTAAGGAAAGTGAGATAATGACATTCCCGGTAATATACCAAAAAAATCCACTATTGATAATCTTACATTATCGGAAATGAGATTCCCATGCTAACCAAACGGAAGAATGTATATTCCATTCATATGAAAATCTTATATTTCCCCAACCAAACACCCCCTAAAAGCTTCCTAATTTCTTTATCATCCAGGTCAATCTGTTGGTGCCATTTTAACCTTTTTTTTTAAAAAAAAAATTAAGCCTCAATGTTTCTCTTTAAGGTAAAACACTTTATTTTATAACATTAATCATTTGTTGATTAACTATTCATTTTAATACCACTTGAGGAATTCAAAATGAATTCTTCGTATATTAGGGATTCATATTACTAAAACAAAGTCAAATTTTGTGTACCATCTGCTGTATGATCTGTTTTTGCATTTTGTAGATAATCTTACCATTTCAAGTTGTTTGAAGAATTAACATCTGAATAAAGAAAATGCTGTAAAATTGTCAATTTCCACATTATAAACATATGAGATCACCATTAATACAACTCTAAATCAAAACCTCTCCAAATTAAAGACTATAATTATAATGGTTAACTCTTCAAATCAGCAAAAAAAGAAAAGAAAAAGAAAATGGGCAAGTTACACGTTTAGTACCTAAATTATCGATTTTGGTTTATTTTAATACCTAAACTTTCAATTTTTTTTAGAAACCATACCTAAAGTTTAATTTTTGTTTCATTTTAATATCCCGTACGAAATTTAACATAAGTTTTGAAAAGTTGAAAGTTTAAGTACTAAAACGGAACAAAACTGATATTTTAGGTACTAAACGTGTTAAGCTTTTAACGACGGAGTACTAAAATGAAATGAAAACTAAACGTTAGGTATGATTTTGAAGAAAAAGAAAGTTTAAGTATTAAAATAGACCAAAATTAATAATTTAGCTATTAAATACGTAGTTTACCCAAAAAAACTATCACAATATCCAACATTTGCAACCTTGAGCTTCTTGGGGGCCTTCAAACCATTGATCCCATACGGGAATTATAGGGCCATTTGTTCTGTCAAAAATTGATCAAGACAATTCTCAGAATTACCTCAAAAATGAAAATAAAAGTTATATATGTATCTGTGTTTGTACCGACGTACACGGGGAGTAGCGGATCGGGTTTACTTTCGACATTGCCGAGCATCCTGTCATGCATAAGCATATTTCAATAAGTTTTCATGCTAAGATGGTGAATGAATACCACCTAGTCTTCATACTTACTCTTTAGATGCTGCTGATGCCTTCTCCATTCTTTCTATCTGCTCTAGCTCTTCCTGCATTCACGGAATATCATGCAAGGTCAATGATAATAGTAATTATTAGGTCGAATGATGAGAAACTTCTAACAAAATTAGAGTTTTATGATAGAATCTTGAGCATATATGATATGGTACCGAGCATCGATAGAGGGACCTTCTCAAAACGATGGTTGCAGTGGTGTTTTCAACCTTCAAATTCAACATACAGAACTGACATAGCTACAGTCGTTGGAATTGAATCTCGGAATAGAAGATGGAAGAGAACTTAGTAGTTGAAGATAATCCGGCATCATTAAATCTTCCGGTAAGCAAACTTAAGCTCGTGATTAGACCAGTAACATAGTATATAACATTCAACCCCTTGATTATCAGAAAAAAACATATAAATCCCACATAATGGGGTGGGATGTCTGTTTGATAGCCAATTCTAACTCGATACAAAATAAAGCGCATCCCTCTTGCAAATGGATAAATCGAAACGCTTAAATCCAACTAAAGCAAAATTTCATATTAAATTGTTCCGGTCTAGTCCATACAACTTTCGGAAAAAGCCCCCCGCCCCCCACGATTTTGGTGAATCCTATATATTATTAAGCTCCACAGGTGAAGCAATAACATTCATTACCAGTTAATATTGACAACCGAGTTTCTTGCCGAATGAATAATTTACCCAGTAGATCATGACAGCAGAATATCATTGTTTGATCCGAAAAAGTAGACACAGTAATGGATATTTAAACAAACCAAATATAATAAATTACAGCCTAAAGTCGGTATGCATCCGAATTGAACAAACCAAATTTGAAAGGTGGTGAAGTGCAACGATAAATCATTGAACGTGAGCATATAAATGAATCAACTTAATGGACCAAAACAAGGACTCAATAATCCGTATCAACACCAGAAACCTAGCCACATAACGTGAACAGCAAGTTCTTTATGACAATATATTATATAACCGAATAGCAGTACAATAAAAGTTCAAGTTAAGGTCATTGGAAAGATGAATTAAAAACTAGGTCTTATAGACGAGGGAGCTACATTCGAACAAAGGAGAAGTAATCAATGTGGAACCAATCTAGTCCACTAGCCCTATTGAATTAAACCAAAGAAGCTGAATTGATGCGAATGACGAAAAGAGCAACTGTAGTTAACTTACGAGTGAAGAGCAAAGGAATAAGTAATCAATTCAGAACCAATCTAGTCCACTAGAACTATTGAATTAAACCAAAGAAGTTGAATTGGTGCAAATGAAGAAAAGAGCCACTGTAGTTAACTTACGAGTTACGAAGGAAGGAAGACGTAATCAATTCAGAACAAATCAAGTCCACTGATCCTATTGAATTAAACCAAAGAAGTTGAATTGACGCAAATGAAGAAAAGATCCACTGCAGTTAACTTTCGAGCTACGAGCAACGATTTCGATAGCAAAAGGCCAAACCATAGGGCAACCGACCCAGTAAAGGGTACCTAAATCAGTTGCATCTACTTCTATTTTTTCCCAGAGTTAATACCCTTCAACGACAACTAATAATTGCAGGGTATCCCTATCTGTTTAGCACAAATAAAGTGACAGTAATTCAAGGTCTAGCATCTGCTCCATATCCGGAGCAAGGGACAAAATTCAGGTGACTTGTAATTTGAAATTTAAAAACAATCAAATAATCCAAATCCAATCATCAAAGCAACTGAAAATCAAACATTCCAAACAAGAACACCAACGTTTCTGTAGCTAAAAGATTAACCCAAAAATTGTATTAAGAAAAAAAGGTGATATCTTTTTTACAAACCTCTAAGAATCTAGCCTCTTGCTCTAGCCTTTTGAGTTCTGCTTGTACCCTATGCTTCCCTCTAGTATCAGCTGCTTGAAAAGACCGAATCCGCTGGGGAATCGGACTCACCACGGTTTTTAAGCGACCCGATTGCATCTCTCTCCTTTATAATTAAATCAATTCAGTACAATCCGAAACAACTAACAACAACAGGAGAAAAAGGATAAAAGGAAGGAACCAAAAGAGTTTGGTCTGAGCAAATTACAACCTGTGAAGAAACAAAAAAAAGAAGGGACAAAAGTTGAAGCTTTTTAGTGGCATTAGGAAAAACATAAGAGGAGGGAGGCCAATAAAGATGTCCCAGAAATCTTCATGGACCCCATGAAAGCTTTAATCTTTAGTCAAATGAATACTATCTTCAAAAACAAAACAAAATAAATCTTTTTTTTTTTGGCAACTACAGAATGGCTGTGAGGGAATTTTTTGGCTGACAGTGGAGAAACAGAGTTGGGTTTTATGCCCTCACTGCTGTTTATTTCTGGGAATTCCAAGAAAAGTCGGAAAGAGAATAATATTGCAGGAGAAAAGTAGGATTTTAAGTTCTAAAACGAAGAGAAAATAAAATTAAGGGTAAAGTTGTATTTAATATTTAAATTATTAATTTTAATATGTTTTAATATTTAAATTTTTTATTTTTTAAATCATATCTAACATTTATTTTTTGTTTCATTTGAGTATTTGTTGTTGAAATTGGACCAAAATTATTTCTGAATATATTTTCACTATTTTTCTGAATATATAAATGAAAATATTTGTGAATACTAAAGGAATATGTTGGCGAACGTGTTCTCAAGCGATAAATGAACCGAACACGAATACTTTTAAAAATATATATAAAAAATGAAGACTATATTAAAAATTTAAACGAATAAGAATCAGACATAACACTTTAAAAAGTAAATAAATGAACACAACACAAACACAATCTTATTCGTTCAAGCTCTATTCATTTACACGATTACCGATTGTTCTACCTTTTTATGCAACTTTTCAATTAAATAGTAAATAAAATTATTTTAAATAAAAGATAATATCTAAAATTAAAAATAAACTTAACAACATCGAAGAAATAATTGAACAAGTGAATAAATTGATCTCTATAAATAGAAATAATTTTACACGATCTATCTAGTTGAATCCTAAATCTCATAACACGGAATTTTAAATTGCTTTAAAATCATAAACTTCACATTTAAACCCAAATATTAAAGTGCAAAATTTTATACCCTAAATAAAATAAATTTGATACAATATGTATATAAAATAATTTCTTTTATAAATGAACGATGTCCTCTAATTTCCTTGTAAATATAGTGCTATTTGTTTTTCTGAGTGGGAGAAAAAATAAAAGTAAAAGGGAATATCGTGTTATGTGAGACCCACTGGTGTGGAGCTTTTTCAAAACATTATGGCACGCCGGCCGACGGCGGTCACATGGAAGTTCATGGAAACGGTTAACACGTCGCCGTATTGGTTGTGCCGTGTACTACACGCAGTTCTCTTTTAAATGTAGGAGCGCGTGCATTCTCACGGGCTGTCTTTTGTCCACAATATATCTTGACAAGTTTGTTCCTCCAATGTCCCCGTTTGCCACATGGAACTTTCCCATATCAATTTTTCATGGCTTGACTGTATGTGAGACCCTCAAATGTTTTCAATAAAGCCAGTTTGACTCTCTGATTATTTTTACACTCAACATGGTCCTCAAGTGCAGAATTGACTGTTACGATATTGACATAATAATTTACAATATTAATATCACAATCAATAGAATAGTATTGTCATCGCGGTCAATAATTTTGAGAAAGATCCCAAATTTTCAAATTTAATCTATATTTACACCTAAGAGAGAAAGAAACAAAAAAAAAGAGCTTATTTATGTGGCACTAGATTGTTTTTATGTATGACTTGGGATCCTCTTGGTTGGTCGATACCTAGTGAAACATTCCCCCTTGAGACGTAAAAAGATTTGTCATTAACTCCAACATGCTTTTCACCTAACCAACTTCATCGTAGCTCAAGTATTCTTATCAATGTTGGGTCGTATATGTGCCTTGATATTATTCTTCACTTACACGTCTTTTCTTAAAAATTATAAATTTTTATATATCATAAATATTTTTTATCGATAATTTGTTTTTGTGACCTCTGAAAATTTTTAAGTTCATCGTCCTCTAAAATTTTATAAATACATCCATAGTATAAAATCTTACATTCGTCTCTGCATGGGGATACTCATGTTTTTGTTCTTACTTCAACTGAAAAATGGGAGCATCGATGCTAGGGATGTATTATGTTTGACTTAGCTCGATTTTTCACTAAAATATGAATTGAACCGTACTTTGTGGACTTTTAAAAATTGAAACCGAAATTGAATGGCATAAAAAGCGTATTTTTCAGTTCGATTTTTTACTATTCACTATTTTTCAAACTCAACCGAACCAAATTGTATATTTATTTTTTAAAATCAAACCACAAATTAAAAACCCAAACCAAACCGAACTGTATAATCCAATTCGAGTCGATTTTTTAATTTTCTCAATTTCATTACTCAATCCTAACCGATGCCATGGTTGACAGAGTATACCATAAACATCAAAAACTGTAATAAAAGGTTCATGACTGACAGAAAATGAAGCAGAGATGATATAATGGCACCTTGGTAGGGTAGTGAAGTAACTGTCTTTTCTCTTATTTATTTTTGTTGGTTGGTTGGTTTAACTTTTTGTTGCTTGAAGAAACACTTCCAATTATTGCAAATATGAAACATCGGTGCATCAACAATAATGAAAGCCAAAAAGACAAGGCACTTTAGTTGTAATATGGTGTCGGAACCGTCTTTCGGTTGGGTTTGAAATTGGTCTTCGACTTGAATTAATTGGGTTAGAGTCGCCACTGATCACTTTAAAACATTTAGGTGGATCGGAAACCATCTTACCTGCTCCGCGTTTTACCATAAATGTGTCGGGTTCGGGAGTCGGTTACAGTCAAGGAAGGATTAGCACTCTTGAATTGTCCTTTCGATATCAATTAATTTGTCGGTTGTCTTAATAATGAAAACCCAAAAATTAAAATTAAAATGTAAAAGCCTGATTCGAATTACTTACCTTTGATCGATCGGAAATATCCTTAAAAATAAAAAATGTTAGATAAAGAATAATAATTAAATAAATGAAAGGAAATAAAAGAAATAATAATAATAATAATAATAATAATAATAATAAAATAAAAAATAAAAATAATTAAATAAATCAAAAGGAAAAATAAAATAAAATAAAAGTAATAAATAAATGAAATAAAAGTAATAAAAGGACCATATGATGAATTTACCCAAAGTTCAAAACCATTGGTTTATTTGGATAATTACACGCCACAAAAAGCCAAAATAATGGCTTTTCTCCTTTGCCATGCTGCTCAAAGTATGAGCTTCCAAACTCCAGTGTGATAGGCAGGCAACAGTCGGTCGAGCTTCCTCTACGTACGTTCACTGCACCATCGGTGTTTAAGCAGAAAACATCTATGGGGTCGACTCCCACTGAATTGTGTGTGCGTGAGAATGGTGGAACTCATTGAAATCACCCGAGTGGTAGATTTTTGCCTAGAGAAGACCTTGAGAAAGCAAGGCATTAATTGAACGAATAGCATTTTGAAAGATGCTTGCGTTTTTTATGCTTCCACATTTGCGATACTAGCGAGGAAACGAAGATATTCCATGGTAGGGAGGCCCCATAGAATTGCTGAAGAGAAGACAAAGCCAAGTTCTCTTTCTTCATCTCCCATTTCCAAGTGCATCAGGATATTCAATCCAATCAGAATTAGGAGCTATTCGAGGACTCTGAAGGTGTCGGATACATTGGCAAAACCACTAATACTTATTAATCAGCCATTCGCATCAAGGGCACCAGATATCTTCCCCGATTCGGTAAAATGAATTTCGGACTAATTTTCTCGCTAAACTCGCTCTGAAATTTTTAGACAAAGAAGATGGAAACGTTATACGTTTTGAAGTGAATCGGGGGAAGAGAAGGAAACCGTCTCGATTTTTATATTAAAAGAAACAGAACAACTGCAACAAAATACCCAAAAATCACATCTTTACAATATGAAAAAAAAATAGATTAAGCTTGTCGGAGGAACAAAGCTTTGAACAAACAAATAAAAATAATCAAAATTGTTTTGGGGAGAAACAACTGAACTTCTTCCTCCTCCTCTCTCTGCCTTGGATGCTTTGTTCGTACTCTCCCCTGCCTTTGTGCTCTTTTCTTTCACAGGTCTCCCCCACCAACCTTATTTAAAGTTGATTTCAATCACTCCAAATCGACGCCATTTGCTCTCTGCTGCATGTGGTAGTGGAGTAGGTGGGTAGATGTGTAGTTGAGATAACGGTGGGGTAGTGGGGCCTGTAAAAAAATTAATAGAATTAATAATAATTAATAATAATAATAAATAAATAATATAATTAAATATTTTTGTAGACCCGGACAAAAACGGATGTCTACAGCTGCCCCTCTTTACTTATTTTTGTGTTAACAAGAATTGGGCAAAGACGAAAAAAGACAATCAATTTTTGTACAGTGTTCTCAAATGTGATTGGACTTCTTGGAATTGGGCCTTTGTCTTCTTCTCGGATCGGAATCGAACTTAGAAATCTTCGTTGACAGATAGCTTTTCTTGACTTAAGCTATTCTGCTTGAAAATGATTGCTTGTCACTAAGGCACGACTAACCCAGGTCTTCATCTCGACTTGAAAACTTTGACTGTAACCGGAAAGTAGTGTGATTGATTTTTCATCGAGCTGAATGAAATCGAACTCGACAATTTTGTTGACAAATAACCCTTCTTGCCTTAAGATATGCTGTGAATGATGTGCCTTGGAGTAGAGCGTAGTCGAACTCGAAGGTCTTTGGTTGGCAGATAACCCTTCTAGCCTTGAGTTATGCTGCAAATGATGTGCCTTGGAGCTGAGTGTAGTCGAACTCGAAGGTCTTTGTGTTTCAAGAGAAACATTTTCAAAGGTTTTTTTTTTCAAGAGAAACAATTTCAAATGTTTTTTTTTGTTTCAAGAGAAACTGTCTCAAGAGAGACAAAACTTTGTTTCAAGGGAAATTGTCTCAATTGAGACAAAACTTAGTTCTAAAAGAAACTGTCTCAAGGGAGCCGAAATTAGTTTCAAGGAAAACATATTCAAAGATTTTGTTTCAAGGGAAACTGTCTCAAGAGAGAAAATTTATTTCAAGGGAAACTGTCTCAAGGGAGACAAAATTTGTTTCAAGAGAAACTGTCTCAAGAGAGACAAAACTTAGTTCCAAAAGAAACGATCTCAAGGGAGACGAAATTAGTTTCAAGGAAAACATATTCAAATATTTTGTTTCACGGGAAACTGTCT